AACTGGGGGGTTTGAACGACCAACTTCCTGGTTAGCAGACCAGTGCCCAACTCACTGGGCCACCCAGACCCCTTTTTTATGAAGGGGAACCAGTGCTATCTGTTTCTCAGGTTGGTGGGACAGTCAGATGGTGCATGTAAACTATTCAGCCCGGCGTCTGGCACAGCGAAATGGCTACCCAGAGCGCAATTGGCTGTTCTGCAGTCAGGTCTAATTTTGTGGGGTCATCTCCACTCATGCACCTAGTGAGGAGAGACAATGCCCTCTTCCTGAAGACCCTGCCCACGCGATAGCCTCTTGGCACCACTCTTGGCACCATGTCCTGTGCTGGCTTTGTAGAGACCAGGATGCTGGGCTAAGAGTCAGAGCTCCTGCTTAATACTCGTGTGAAGAAGAGCTAACGCTAAGGACGCTGCTGAAACCTGGCTGCTTAGTCCCCATGCCTCTGGATTCCTACCTCACTGCGGTGTCTCCGTGGCACGTGCCTGTTTGCCGGGTTTCCCTCTAGCCGCCTGTGGGTGAGGGCAGCACTGCCTCCCGGGCTTTCTGGGGCCATCACTTCTACGGGAGCTGAGCGCCAGGCCTTTCCCCCTTGGAGCCACTGGAGGACACCTCGCTTAGTGTTTCTGGGGAGCTTGCCTGGAAGCCCTGTGTCCTCTCTCCGCTGTGCCATCCTCTCATCTCCTCCTCCTCTTCCTCCTTTTGTAAATGATGGTCTAAGGACTCGCGTTGGTAGTGGAAACGGTTGTGTTCCCTTGGAATCTGCAGGCTCCTGTTGAAGTGATGGCGAATTACAGGGCGGGGGGCAGGCAGATGTCGAAAGGAGGCCTGGTTGGCGGAATGGTTATGCTTCGTGCTCAAGGTCCCCAGCTGGAAGCCACCGGCAGCTCCGTGGGAGAAAGCCGGGGCTTTTTATTCCCCTAAGGCAACTCACAAAGACACGTTTACCCTGTCCTGTAGGGTCGCCGTGAGCTGGCATCAACTTGATGGCAGTGAGTTTGGGGTTTTGGGGAGCAAATGTGGAGCACAGGGAACAGCCCAGATCAGATGAAAGGCTGAGGGAAAGGGCGGGCTCACGGGGATGTGAATCATAGCACTCTGAGTCAGGACATCAGGAGAATAGTGAGAAAATGCTCCGCCCAAGCCCACTGGCTTCATACAAACCAAGCCCGACTAGAAATCAAAGTTCATATGGGTAGTGGGCACGCTGCAGGTCTTAGTACAGTTACAGCATAAAACGACCTCCTCAGTGAAAGGGGGGATTCGATTCGCTATACAAGTCCTCCCTTCTCTAAATTCAGAGTTAAAAAAAATGTGGCAAATGACCACAAGACTGGCTCTTAAAGAGGTTAAATAAAATAAAAAAAGAAAAAGAGAATGATGTATGGAAAGGAAGCAAGGGGAAACTGTTGAAAGCATGCCTGGGAAAGAGTTGGATAAAACTGTCCCCAGAGGGGATGAAGACTGTAGGTGGGACATCCCCTAGAAGTCCCATGTGTAAGAGGGGCGGTCCCGGCAGCTCTGCTTCCTTCAGTCAGAATTTCAGAGCGTTCCTCCCGAGGAAGAGGAGGAAGATGAAGGAATGTCTAGAACTACAAATAATCAAGACTCCAGCCAGTCCGGTAGCTGCTCAGAAAGGCCGTTGCTAGTGGTCTTGAGTTAGTTGGCTTCTTTGTGAAAACGTTAGAGGCAACAAAGCGCTACTTAGATGGTGCCACAGCGTCAGTCACAGAAGGAGGCTCCAGCGTGTCAGATGTTAAGTGGGGAGGATGAAAATAAACAAAAAGCAGAACTCTTTTGTGGTGGAGATTCTGCCACATGCACCGAAGTAGGGAGAATGCTCTAAGGCAGCGTTCTCAACCTGTGGGTCACGACCCCT